CTCGGAGTAACAGAAATCTTACGGATCCTCTTTGACTCATAATATTAAGCTCTGCCCTAAAGCATTGAGCACTTTTGCTAAGCAAGATTTCAATTCCAGTTATATGTATATATATATATATATATATAGAACGGTTAAGAAGTTTCTTGAGCCAACGGAAGATGTCATACCAATAGGGATCCCAACGAGATACACAGTCCAAGCTTTGGTGGGTTAATAATAGTCCAGTTTCGAAGATAAAACCAAAGACGGACAACCTTTAATATGTAAAAAATTTAAAAAACTTTACTAAAACGTTTTCGGTCGTTTGACCTTCATCAGTTGTACAGAGTAATAACAGAATATTGACCCTTATATATAATTACACGACGAACAATAAACAAAATCATGGCAAAAGATTATATAACAAATTGAAAAGAAAAATTAGAACAATAATACAAAATTAAAGGCAATTACATAATCGGACTAGAAATAAACAATACAGAAGCAAAAGGTACTAACGAATTACAAATATCACGTAAACAAGACATTATAATTCAAGCATAACAAAATCCCTTGGCTATCACAAGTCCATGAATATCCGCGGCGAATCTGCATACATAACAAATTCCCCGCATGCGGTCCTTAAACAATTGAACACAACGTAATAAATTCCGCACCGAAGCCCTTGAATATATGTAACGCCAGCAGAAATAACACATTCCTGAGAAAGGGCCTTTGAATGCTTGAATTAAAGTGTCTTTAAATATAAATAAATACAAAACGAGTAAACTAGAGAACAGCAAAACAAAAACTACAAGTACTAAAATAGTATAAAAAGTATTAAAATTCTAAGAGATAAAAATAGTTCTAAAAACTGTCATAATAAGAAACTTTGCAACTTGGTGAGAGAGAAAAAAAAAAAGAAGAAGAAAAAAAAAAAAATTAATTTTGATAATGAATGCGTTTCTTCGAGTGGAATTCTTGTCTCCTGTTGAGCCCATGAGGGAAAATGGAAAATAATTGCGCGCTCCAATACGCTTCTTTTGTGATGAGCAATCTGTCAATATCATCAACTGTGGTATTACGTAATTGGTCGATACATTGAAAACTGAAGTCTTCTAAAACGTGTGGTGTTTTGTTGAAGTGTGTAGCCACCTCGCACGTTTTTTTGTTGGTCCGCATGGAAGACTTGTGGTTTCGAAATCTAACTTTGAATTCTGTGGTGGTAGACCCAATATATTGGAGTCTACATTTATTACAATTGGCTAAATAAATAACGTTTGTGGAGCAGCAAGTCAGTCTTTGCCTGATCACATAAGATTTACCCGTTTGAAAGCTAGAAAAAGTTTTGGAACTAACAAGGAAATTCTTGCATAGATCGCACCTATTTTTATCGCATTTAAAACAGCCCGGTGCAGGTTCATTGTCTGTCCGCGGCGAGTCAGTTTTGCACTTTGAAGGCGCCAAGATCTCTTTGAGATTCTTTGGTCTGCGATATGATGGAATAATAGAATTAGATGAAAAAAGTTCCTTAAGTTGTGGCGAAGAATCCAAAATATGAAAATGTTTCTTAATTATAGAGTTAACACGAGGAAGATTGGGGTTATAAGTAACTACTAATGGAAATATTTTCTTAGAGTTCCTAACTTTGGGTGTGAGTAAATTGTTACGAGGGATTTTAGAAGCTGTAGAGATCTGCCTTAAAAGCAATCATTCAGTCTTCAAGGGAAAATACTATCTTCAAATCCATGGTACAGCCATGGGACCCAAAAATGCTTGCAGTTATGCAGATTTAGCCATGGGAGAAATAGACCACAAAGCTAAATTTTGCGGCCCCATTAAGCCCTCACTATGGTGGCGATATCGTGACGATATTTTTGATCTCTGGCAACAAGGTCTTCCCGCATTGAACTCATTTACGGACTATATTAATTCTCTATACCCTACAATCAAATTTGAACTAGTGTATTCTGAAAGTACCCTTAATGTTTTGGATGTAACTCTCCTTTTAATTGATGGCTTCATTCAAACAGATGTTTATTCAAAACCTACAGATAGCCACTTGTACCTTCCACCCTCTAGTGCCCACCCCAAGCATGTCTTTAAGGCTATCCCCTTTGGGGTTGCCTCTAGAATACGTAGAAATTGTTCCACCGATAATTTTCTCTCCAAGAGAGTGGAAGAATACAAGGGCTATTTGACTTCTCAAGGCTATCCATTAAACTCTGTTAATCAACAATTTTCTAAGGCTGTTGAAATCCCTCGTAACAATTTACTCACACCCAAAGTTAGGAACTCTAAGAAAATATTTCCATTAGTAGTTACTTATAGCCCCAATCTTCCTCGTGTTAACTCTATAATTAAGAAACATTTTCATATTTTGGATTCTTCGCCACAACTTAAGGAACTTTTTTCATCTAATTCTATTATTCCATCATATCGCAGACCAAAGAATCTCAACGAGATCTTGGCGCCTTCAAAGTGCAAAACTGACTCGCCGCGGACAGACAATGAACCTGCACCGGGCTGTTTAAATGCGATAAAAATAGGTGCGATCTATGCAAGAATTTCCTTGTTAGTTCCAAAACTTTTTCTAGCTTTCAAACGGGTAAATCTTATGTGATCAGGCAAAGACTGACTTGCTGCTCCACAAACGTAAACTGGCGGATGAGAAACAGTTTTCTGTTTCATCAACTAGAACACCTCATGTTGATAGACTCATGTTGGCCAAACACCTCAAGTCGACAAAGATAAATGGGTAATTAACTTGTCTTCCCGTTCCCTCAGCGGAGCGGAGGTGTCTTTACTAGAGAAAGGGTTGAATTTCGCGGTAACACCGACGAACATTCCAGCCACTGAGATAGTCGCTAAAGTTGAATCAGCTATAGAACGCTCGACTCAGAACGAGCGGACACCGTAAGAAGATCCGTGAACCACATCCTTCAAAAGGCGAAACCACCTAAGCCTAACATCACGAAAGAGATGCATGAAGCCCTAAAGAACTTAAAACAGGACGATTCTATCATGATTCTGCCGGCGGACAAAGGCCGTGCAAGCGTAGTCCTGGATACTGACACCTACCATGATAAAATGAAATCACTCATCGAAACCGGTCCATATCAACTCCTCAATAAAGATCCAACGGACCGATTATGCCGTAAGTTAACAGAGAAACTGCTTAGCTTAAAAAGAATGGACATTTATCCGAGACTGCCTATAACAAGATCAGACCTAGGCACAAACAGCCACCTAGGATCTATGGCCTACCTAAGATACACAAGTCCAACATACCATTAAGACCTATTGTATCATGCGTTAACACCTTTGCTTATGACTTGTCTGCTTTCTTAGCTGACATCTTGTCCCCTTTGACGGGTAAGACAGATTACACGGTTTACGAACTCAGCTCATTTCGTGTCCACCATTAGCCATGAGAAAATACAAGAAGACGAGATCATGGTGTCTTTTGACGTAGAATCGCTTTTCACAAATGTACCGATAGAGGGTGCCGTACAAACCACTCTGCGAAAACTAGAGAGTGACCCTGGCCTAGCCGACCGCACAACTCTGACACCAACACAGATTGCCGACCTCTTGAATTTCGTCTTAAGGTCCACGTATTTCCAATACAACGGATCGATTTTACGAACAAAAAGACGGAGCAGCCATGGGGAGCAGTCTCCGCAGTTATAGCTAACCTCTACATGGAGGAATTTGAGGAACAGGCGTTAACAACCGCGCCCTATAACCCTAAGATCTGGAAGCGATATGTAGATGACACATTTACCATCTTAGATCGAAACAACGTTGACAGTTTCTTACAACACCTCAACAGTCAACAACCCACCATTCGTTTTACCATGGAAATCGAAAGTCAGAACAGTATACCTTTTCTCGACACGTCAGTTACAAGGGATTCAGACGGCCTTATCACTACCAGTGTGTATAGAAAGCCCACACACACTGATCAATACCTGAGCATATGATTCACACCATCCTCAGTCAGTAAAACGTGGAATTGTTAAGTGCTTGTATGACCGAGCAAAACATCTCATAACTGAACCATCAGTTATCTCGAAGGAAAAGAAACATTTATCATCAGTTCTTGTTTCTAACGGATACCCTTCTTCTTTCGTGAAAAAGATGGCAAAGACTATGAAAGCGAACAACCGAGAAAGAACCCACACAGGAATTTCAATCCACTGCTGTTTCACCCTATATCAAAGGTGTATCAGAGGTTCTTCGCCGCTGCCTACAACAACAAGGCGTACGCACCGTTTTCAAATCTGACACAACACTTAGATCACATTTAGTACGACCTAAAGACGCCCTTGAGTCATCTCAACAAGACGGTGTTGTCTATAAGATTCCATGTGAATGCGGCAAAGTATATATCGGTGAAACAGGGAGATCGATGCGTGAAAGAATGAAGGAACATGACAGAGACATACGGCTTGCTCGTACTCAGAACTCCGCAGTTTCGGAACATGCCAACGAGACTGGCACTTTCCTATTTGGAGCGAAGTTAAATTTATTGACAGAGGACCCTCATTGGTACACTCGAAAGGTTAAAGAGGCCATACATATAAGACTTCATCCAAACAACATCAACAGGGATGGTGGAATCGAAATTTCCTCAAGTATGGATGCCTACGATCAAGAAACACAACTGCCGAACAACATCTAGTCAGCCCACTGAGGGAACAACTAGTCAGCCCACTGAGGGAACAGCCTCTAGTCGGAATAATAATGAGGATCTAAATGCACCAATAGCAACGAACCAGGTGCCACTGAATTTTATTTGACAATTAGTCAAACTAATCATCCTACACCAAATATAAGTTGTCTCTCCTAAGCCTTTGTGTGGTCTTTACGGAGTGTGCAATGTGTAATTTTAAATGGAAATTTATATGAAATATATGAGAGGGTGCAAGAAACTGGGAAATAAACCCCTCATAAATCTCCCCTGGGCTTCTGCCCTAGAAAGGAAATTGGCCCGCCGGGACATAGAAAATCTTTGACCCCGGTGGGATTTTGAACCCACGACCACCGGATTAGATCACGCACCGTCGCTCTAACCAACTAAGCTACGAGGCCAGATTCAGATGGCAGCTGGTCGTGGTAATTTAGGTAGTGAATCGCGGCAATGGAGATATATCAAATTGAACAAAGTGTTGTGAGCCGCATATCACCTGTATAAAGATGGATATGCTAGAAACTGGGAAATAAACCTTTTATAAATCCCCTTGGGCTTCTGCCCTAGAAAGGAAAGGAAATTTCCTTTCTAGGGCAGAAGTCCAGGGGGATTTATAAAGGGTTTATTTGCCAGTTTCTGACACCATCCCATGGATTTCATATAAATTACCACTTTATACGGGTGCTATGGAGTATGCGGCTCACATTTATTGATTGGCATAATATTCGCTAAAAGGGTAAAATAATGTATATACAAGGCTAAAAATGTGATCACAACTCAGTTGCATCAAAGAAGTGTTACTCGTCAAAACCCTTCTTTGTAAACTTGTTAGCTTTGACTTTGTGAAAGTGATTGCGAGTGAGTTTACAGCAGTGAATCTGTCCACTGGCCAAGAAATGACTGGCAAAGTTCTCCTGTGTATTGCAAAGTAAGGTCCTGTTTAACATTAAAGCAAAGAAAGAGCTTACCTGTGTGTATTTTGTTGCTTGCTGCTTTTGCAACTGTGGGGCTATATTATAATTATTAGATTCTGTATGTATTTATCAATAAAAAAATAATAAATTCTAATTTGAAGATTGAACTAACGCCTATAACTAGAGTGTGGTTATTTAAAACGCTTCGAGGGTAATTCTTTTTTTTTTTTCTTTCAAGAAGACGGTAGTGACTCTGACACTGGTGATCTTCCTTCTTATTTGGCATCTGAAAACACTGAGCAAAATCAGCAGCAGGCAGGCTGTTACCCTCTGCATTTTTAACAAACAGGCATACCTAACGCCTGGTGACAACGGGAGAGAGTTTCCTTGTAGAAACGCCCAGTATCATTGCAATATCAGTCCATCTTAATCCTACACCTTCTCGGAGTGCTTGTGTCTGTTCCTCTGTAATCCCAAAAGGCTGGCCGTCCTGTACACGTCCAGATTGTGTCGGGAAAGGAAATACTAGCGTTTGCACCTGTTATCAGAACTTCAATCGTCGCCATTCTCACTATATTACAGTAGAAGGCCTTTCCAGTCTTTCTACGATTTGCCTGATAGCGTTCATGAACTACTCTAAATCATATGTGAGAGCTTGTTGTGGATCCCGACGTGTTAATTTCGGTTATCCGCTGATACTGCACGCAACGTTTCTTCATATTGTTCCATTCTTCGCGCTAACAATTCGGCTCGGTCGCCATCATTACTTGTCTAGAGTTTGTGCACGGGTGAAACACAGATAAGACATTAGCAAAAAACTCTCCAACGTTGGGGATAAAGAACCAGAAGAACTCAGTGAATACTCTGACTCGTCCCCAGTCGTCCTCTCTTGTCTCCTGTTAATATTTAGCGCGGCCGAGGGGAGCGCAAGGGGTGATGGGAAGGATGAAGGCGGGAGACGACTGGCAGATCCTGTTTCCAAGATGGCGGACAGAGCAATGGCGGCGTTTTGATGAAATAGGCGCTATTAAAGAGAATGCTTTCCGCCGCCCTTTGAAGCTAAAATCTGCTCTGCCGTAAACAATCGTGAGGTTATGTTTACAGTCAAAGTCTTATTTGCACATCACACAACTCTTCTACGCAGTTTCTACGGCGATTGCCGTTTACTTCTGGTACAGAGAACTCAGACTAACTAGATCGTTTCCAAAATACTTCCTTAAGCGTCTACGGACTTGTATTTATTTCTCATTTACACGAGAAAGTCAAACTTCAACTGAAAGCTACGTTAAACGTCTGTTTCCTTTCGCTCTGTGGTGTCCTACAGTTTCCTGTGGAAGTGTTGTGATTATTTGGGTAAAGGGGTCAAACTGATCATGACAAGCTAAATTTAAAATCTCATATTTTCAAGCATCCGCACTTCAGGCCTTTATATCTCTCAATGAACTTACTGCCGAAAAGTTGTAGCCTTTTGCCGTGCCAATTTATTCTGGAAACGAGCGGCCTCAGCTAAAATTGCAAAACCCGGCCAGGAATATCAATTACGTATCCATTCGCGGCACTCAAATCACACACGAGAAAATGACTCGCACACTTACACGACGACACATCAATATTGTTAATACATTGGTTATTTCAAATAACCAATTTTCGGCCATTGCCAAAAAATGGTTATTTCAAATAACCAAATTATCGGACATATACTAAAATCAGGAACACTGGAATACCGGAACAACGGAACACACCGGAACACTATATCCAGATTTTCCATACCCCTTCCATGTTAAATCTCCCGATAAATTGCCCAATTCAACCATGCAGTCGCACTAGAAAGTTATACTACCTAAATTACAACTCGCTGAAATCCTGGAGATTGCCAAGCCTAAGAACAATCTGCCCCACAACGAACACAAAGCGATCCGTAAAGAGTTTGAAAGATAAACTCTGAAATCAATATTAAAAAGGCCAGACAACGGCTCTACTACAATTCATTATGAACAAACAAGATAAAATTGCAGAGTGTCAGATCCAACTAGATGATGAAGAAAACTATATATAGACCCTTCGCAACACCTATGGTGGAGGAGACTTCTGCTTGAGTCGAATGACTTATAATAGAAGTCAACCCGAAATAAATCATATTGACGGAATGACGAGAAAATGGCTATCTCAAGCAGCCAATTCGCCGCGCATTCCAGTTTTTTACACTCTCAGTACAAAGATTCACAAAGCTAACCCGATCAGTAGACCAGTTATCATATTGGGCTGTAAGGGCCTCCGCAGAAGGAATATCATCAGTATACATGTAGATAGTCTGCTTCGGCCTATAGCAAAACAACACAAACTCGTATCTCAAAAATACAAACATCAGGAGTAAGTAGCACCATCATTGTATATAAATGGATTGGTGACCAGCCTGTACTACCATATATATTTGCAGTGCATACGAAAGTTTCTTTAGAAACAAACCTCATATCCCAACCCATTTCCTCAGAGAAATCCTCAGACTTATCCTACAGGAGACTGATTTTGTTTCAGTTCAATGGAAATATTAGAATTATCTCTGAGCACAAGGAACCCGGCTATGGGAACGAAAGTGGCAGTGGCTTTGGCCATCCTTCATGCATGGCAGCGGTTGAGACCGAAATCGTAAGTAAAAGCATAACAAAGCCACTCGTCGGTGCGGGAATACTGATATATCGATGACGTCTTCTCTACAGTGTGGACCATAAGCATAGAGGAAATCAATGGGTTTCTTTGAGCAGGCCAACAGACATCAAAACTATTACAGTTGCGGCTGAAATCTCAGGCAAAGACTGAAACATATTTTCTTGGGTACATGAGTTTAATTTATCCTTGACGTGCGCACCCACTACAAACCGATCGAATCATTTCAGTAAACAGAGACGGATCCAGGATTTTTTTATAGGTGGTTCCCAGGGTTTTCACGAAAATGTGAAGTAGATTGAAGGAAAATTTTTTGGAAGTAGACGGCAGTAGTAAAGGCGCAAAGGGGCGTGTTTGGGGGCCTCCCACAGAAAAAAATAATGACATTTTTTAGGCTCTGGAAAAGTGCATTTTGGTGGATTCTGGAGATGGTTTTTATATGGATAATAGAGAAAGCAAAGAACCCCTAAGGGTCTGATATGGGGGTCCGGACCACTCCGACCCCTCCCCCCTGAATCCGCCACTGGTACCCACATTTCTCTTCCTGTCACCCACCAGGGGTCAGTAAAGGCGAGGCCCAATAAGTTGCTTCGACACTAACTCTTCAAAAACAATTTTCGAGGAGAATAATTTATATCACACTCTCTTCGAATTTCAATTCTGAGAGGGCTTTATGTACCAGATTATCTGGATACCCTCTCAAATGTAGCCTAATATCGCGTCTTTGTACTTGTGAGAGTATAGAAAACTGGAATGCGCGGCGAATTGCTACTTGAGGATAGCCATTTTCTCGACATTCCGTCAATATGATTTATTTCGGGTTGAGTTCTAATAAGTCATTCGACTCAAGCAGAAGTCTCCTCCACCATAGGTGTTGCGAAGGGTCTATATATAAGTTTTCTTCATCATCTAGTTGGATCTGACACTCTGCAATTTTATCTTGTTTGTTCATAATGAATGTAGTAGAGCCGTTGTCTGCCCTTTTTAATATTGATTTCAGAGTATTTATCTTTCAACTCTTTACGGATCGCTTTGTGTTCGTTGTGGGGCAGATTGTTCTTAGGCTTGGCAATCTCCAGATTTCAGCGAGTTGTAATTTTAGGTAGTATAACTTTCTAGTGCGACTGCATGGTTGAATTGGCCAATTTTATCGGGAGATTTAACATGGAAGGGGTATATGGAAAATCTGGATATAGTGTTCCGTTGTTCCCGGTATTCCAGTGTTCCTGATTTTAGTATATGTCCGATAATTTGGTTATTTGAAATAACCATTTTTTGGCAATGGCCGAAAATTGGTTATTTGAAATAACCATTTTTTTGTCAATGGCAGTAAATTGGGTTATTTGAAATAACCATTTCTGGAGTTTAACTTTCAATTGGTTATTTTAAATAACCAAATACTGCCAACGTTGATAACGGATGCTAAGAAATTTTCATTATTTGACATAAACCATTTTGGCATGTTTGGTTATATGATATAACCAAATAGCAACCACTGTCTCCGAATTTCATTATATCATAAAACCATTTAAATAATGATAAAAAGCACTCAGTTTCTGCTAAATAATAAATTTACAAACGGCGCCCCATATCGGCAGACCGAAATTAAATATGCCAAAAAGTTCAACAATTTGAAAGATAATACAAAGGTTAACACAAATCTTATGGCAACAGTTAAGCGAAATGTAGAAAAAGACCAGTGATATTCGTTTATGCTACGTCTCCAAAATGGATTCGAAGTCATTTTTGAATATCCATGGCCTTGATTAATGCCTTCTAAAGCCTTCGAGAAGCCATTTTGATATCTGACCGTCTAGCGTTGC